GAAAAACCTGAACCGTCACGCTCACGCCTCGCCGACTACAGGTAAGTGCTGATTCATGTTTTCAGTTATAAACATATTACTTTGCCTATGCTCAGAAATTATGGATCAGGACTTAGTTAAGATGCTCGAATCAGGATCAGACTTTAGAATTAAGATATGACTCTAGAATTCAGTATCTTCCGATATAACTTTAGAGTTCCTTAGGATTCATGTCAGTATTTATCGGCCATTTTTGGCAACTCGTCAAGAGATTTGTGTGCGCTAGTAATCAGTCAGAATATTATCACGTGTTCAATAATGTTGAACTTTCTCAATGTTCAGATGCCGCCCCGTAGGGAACCCGATCACCCGTGTAATACCCCGTTTTATTATCGAATATTTGAGAATAATTATTGATTATTGCTATTATTAATTGTCTTCATTATTATTAGTATTTTACTAATAATAATATCATTACTATTATTATTATTGTTATTGTTATCATCCGGATCGTTAAACCTGCATCAAGAGATTCCAAATGACACATTAAAAGGAAGTAGATCATTAAACCGACGTTATTTCAAATACCACCCCGATTCAGGCAATATACCGGACCGAACTACCGAAGACCGAAGTGGTCAAACCGAACTACCGAAGACCGAAGTGGTCAACGACTACCGAGGTCAACGTCTACAGAGGACAACATGGAACCGAGGTCGTCACCTCCTTAAGCAGGTGACAAGGTGCCTACGAGTGACTCTCCTGCTCCACAAGATCTGTCATCATTTATGTGGGACCCCCTGCCTCAAACCTCCCAAAAAAAGTTACTTTATTCGAAAAAGCAATGCACGGATCCCCATGTATCAACCCGAGATTACTATAAATAGCGGGCCCATGACATTTGTAGGGGGATCTCTCTCCGAACTAAAAAAAAACTTTACTAAGCAACACGTAAAAGCCCATCACGGCTCTTCACCTCAGTTCACCTCGGACCGAGGCCATTGTCGATTTAATCTTACATGCTTTACGTCCAAATCATTCAAAATTATCCACTTAATCACAAGTTATATCGTTGTTAAAAATCACATAACAACAGTTATTAAATGCATAAAATGCCAAATTGCTATTATTTGTGTTATTAGTAATATTAC